GTAGCATAGTGGCTAAGACACTTGCCTGCTAACCAGACGGCTGGTGGTTCAAACCCACCAGCCACTCCGCGGAAGGAAGGTTGGGCAATCCCACTTCCGTAGTGATACTGCCTCGGAAACCCAAGGAGGGGTCGCTATGAGTCGGGTTTGACTCGACGGCACATAACAACAACAACAACAACATCTATAAATATGAGAAGGCTGCACTAAATCATTTTTATAATGACATAAAATTCTAAAAGTCTATAAACATATGATCAAGAAAAATAAAGAAAATTATACTATAATGTAAAGTATCACATACTCCAAATGTACACAAATGGCAGTATTTGATAGAAATGAGAATAATTAAAGGATTATATAGATCCTTAATTGCATAGAGACGTAATTATTTTAACCATGAAACTAGGGAGTAAAAATGAGGTTACAGCAATAAAATAATTAATGCATTTTCAGCTTCAAAAAGGTAGCTAATCAGCTATAATGGAAAAACAAAAATAAAGGTTACATACATTAACTTAAAATGTCTATCACATTACATTACCTGGTCACATATGTTAAAATATTTTTATAGAACAGAAGAATTAGTGAAAGAAAAAGGAAATATCATCGAGGTAGAGTGCCAAGAACAGTTTTGCAAGAATTGTGTTTTTTACTGATTTTGACTCTTATTTCTTAATAAAGAACCCACTTAAAACTGTAACTTAGCACTTCATGCATTCTAGCTTTAATTTATAGCTAGAAAATTCTTATGCTGTCTTCTTTTAATTTTATAATCTGTATAGTTAGGAGAAAAAGAACATAGAGGAAAGAAGAAAACTACCAAATCGTTACGTAGAGGTTGGAAACAACCAATCCAAAGAGGAAAAAGCATCCAGGTATGTTGATTATCACGACACAAGACGACACACCAAATGTGTAAAATTAAAATCCATGTAACACAAAGGAGAATCTACAGTCTCACCTCAATGAGCATATAAATCTATAGCCTTTATAAAAAAGGAAGAAAATAATGGAAGATCCAAAGAGACAGTTATTACTCTAAAATTGTGTTTTAATGTATATTTAAACATCATTAGTATAATAACTACTCCAGTTTGAAACAATTTAGGGAATAGTTAAATTTGCACATTGGCCTTAACCAGAGTATGAAATTGACTTATATTTTAAAAATCTTTTTAAGCTACTAACATAATTATAAGTATGATAAAAAAGCTTAAACTAAGATCTAAGAAAGCAATTAAAATCTCTCCAGAATTTTTTAGTACATGGTACATAATGCCTGATTCCCTAGAATGTGATGTTTTCAAAGTAGTTATAAAATGAAACAACAAAGAAAATTATCAGTTACACACCTGAGAGTCCCTGAAGTACATTTCATATTGCTGTATCATTTGTCTGCTAATCAGGCTCCCATGATAAACGACAACATTAATATCAGTCCACGTACGAAACTCTCTCTCCCAGTTTGCAATAGTAGAAAGCGGAGCAATAATCAGGAAGGGTCCTCGTATACCAGTTAGAAGGATTTCATAGAGGAATGTAATTGATTGAATGGTTTTTCCAAGACCCATTTCATCTGCTAAAATGCAGTTTCGTCTGAAACAAACAAACATTATCCATGCATACGTTGGGTTTTTCTGTATACCACAACGTTTTTAAATACAAATATATATAAATAATCAAAGAGCAAATAAAAACTACTTGCATTTATGAAAATGTAAAAGTTGCTGAAGTGCAGAGTAGGCTCAAGATTATAATTTCATTAAATCCTGCAAAGGGGAAAACTATAGATTTTTGTAGTTCCAAAATAAAGATACCACTTGTTTTTTTAAAAAAAGTGAAATGGCATGAGCAAGGCAAGCTAAATGTATTATTCATTCAGGAAGCATTTATTAAATACCTTCTATGTCTCAGGGACAGTACGAGAAGATGGAATACAAAAGAAATAGAACATGTTCTCTGCCTTCCAGGGGCTCGTATCTATTAGAGAAGCAGACATGCAAATAAATAAATAAATAGGCATGTAATGTGCTATCATAGAAGCACAAATAAAGCACTGGTTTCCAACGTTGGCTGTGCAGTAGAGGACCTGCAAAGCTTTGGGGGAAAAGCATTCAGATACTAGTTCCTTCCTCTACAGATTTTCATTCACTGCGTATGAAGTAGGATCAAAGCACCTGTATTTTTTTTTTTGTTTTAAACAAGCTCCACTGCTGATTATGGTATGTGGCCAGATGAGATTCATAAATATTAAGTTTACTATGGAAACTCAGAGAAATAAGTGCCAAAATCAGGCTAGAAGAGGTAAGAGAAGGATTCAGAGAATAAGTCAATAAAGTGTAGGAGTCTGCTAGAGGACACAGTAAAGGAGCAAAAGTGTAAAAAACATTATCATCTGGGGAGCACAAGCCTAATGTTTTTGAGAAGAGTGAAAGGGAGGTGAGATTATTAAGCTAAGTAGGGGTCATATATAAAAGAAGTGAGATATCATTCTATTATGTAATGGAGAGTCATATATTTTAGGAGAAAGCTGAGGAGATTAGATTTGTATTTCAAAGTTCACTTTGTTGCTGTTGTGGATATTAGAGAGTGAGGTGAGTGAAGTAGAGACACAAACTACTGTAATAGTGCAGGGAAGAATGGGTGGACTCTGAAGTCAGTAGGGTTTTGCTAAAAGGAGAGAAATTATTCGAGAGTTAACTTTGAGTTAAATGAATTAGACCTAGTGACCAACTAGATGTATGGGGTATAGATGACATCCAGATTTCCAGTCTGAGTGACTAAGAGAACTGTGATATTATTAATTGAGATGCAAGATATACAACAAGACTAAATCTTATATAGAGGAAACGGGAAATGAGAAGGTTAATTCTGGATCCACTGTATTTAAAAATCATTGAACAGACATTCAGGTGCCAATAAGGAAAACAGAAATATGGGCCTGGAGCTCAAATTAATACCTTAGTTATTACAGATAAAAGTACGGACCGGAGTGGTGAAAACCCTGAGACTAAGCGTATTATTCATTCAGGAAGCATCTATTAAATACCCTCTATGTCTCAGTACAAGAAGATGGAATACAAAAGAATGAATTAGACCTCGTGAACAAATAGATGTATGGGGTATAGGATGACATCCAGATTTCCAGTTTGAGTGACTAAGTGACTGTGATATTATTAACTGCCCTTCACGTATGGAATTAACTTACTCCTGTGGCTTCTAGCCAAATAAAAGACGGGCATATGGGCTGAACATTTACGTTAGGTAGATACACTCCTTGGAGAGATTAAGCATGGGAGAACAGAAGGGCAGTGTAGGAGAGGGCGATACCTCAGGAGGTGGGAGTGCACCAGAGGGAAGGGCACAGGGAAGAGGCAACTACAGGGAGGAAGTGGGAAGAGAGCTGTTACATTGTGGGAAATTGCAGTCAATGTCATGAGACAAAATGAGTATGAACTGCTGTATGGAAAACAAATTTGTGCTGTAAACTTTCACTCAAATTAGAATTAAAAAAAAAAAAAGTACAGACTATTAGAACATTTTATGTAAATGAAGGCACAAACGTGTATGTGGAGGATGTGTTATGCTTGGAGGGTGAAAAAGAGAACCAAAACAACATTTAAAGGACAGAGAGAAGGAAAAGTATCAGCAAAGAATGCAATTTGGTCATAAAGAAGGGAATGGTCACAGAAATATGTATGGAGACCTAAGAGAATCACATTGTGGAAGTCAGCTGTAGAGGGAAAGTTGAAAGAAAGGAGTACCGATTCAGATTCAATGTAGAAGAGAAAACAAATAAGTGTCAATAAATCTCCTGTGGATTGAAAAATCAAGACTTTCAGAGAATGATAGTACCAAAATTCAGACTAGAATACTGAAAAGAGAATTGAAAGTGAAGAAATAAGGACAACTAGTACAGGTTATTCTTCCTAAAATTTTGGCTAGGAAGTTACACAGAAAGTTTGAGCTAGAAGGACAAGTGGAGTCAAGAGAAGGTTTATCTTAGCTAGAAGGACAAGTGGGGCCAAGAGAAGGTTTTGTTTTTGAAGGTTGAACTCAAACTTGTTCATAAACTAAAGGGATAACATTAGTCTTAAGGGTTGGCTTTAAGATATAAGAGAGAAGGATGATAAGTAACTAAAGTGAGGTTTCTAAGACTGAATGAGATGGCATATAAGAACTGAGGTGGCAGTATTATTCTTGGTTCTCAGGAATGACCTTTAATTGTGATACATGAAAATATGAGTAAGACTGGCTATGGATGTAGGTATAATTTGTAAGATTGGTTAGGAGTGCAGCAAAAAAGTTAATCAAGTTTACTTGCTGGACCTAAGCTTCTCGATGAAGCAAACCTATATAGTCAGTGAAGGGGTTGGGATAAAAGGTTTAAGTGATTAAAGTTTAAAAGAAGCAATGTAGGAAATGTGAAAGGTTGCTGGTAAGGAAGGACAAGTGAAAAAATTTAACTATTTTACCTGGATAGTGCTCTTACAAAAATTGATTAATATTTAGAAAATATAACTCAAGAAAAAGAGGACCTTGTGCATATAGTAGTTCCCCTTAACTCTATCAGACTGAGTCTCATGATTCACAATTACTAAGTTTAACAACTCAAAAAAATCAAGTAAGAAGTAAGAACACAGAAAAGTGATTCTGAATAAAGGTGCCATATCATATATTGCTTTTACTGCTAATAATAATTCTAATTCTTAATCATATTACCATTTTTTAGGTCTGCTGCAATTGTGTTTTCATCTCAATAAGGAATTCCCTGAGTTCTATACAGCATTTTGAATAAGTTAGCAAAGACAAAATGAACAAGAATGGAATATTTCGTTATTTCTGCTGCTGTTTTCAGTTGCTATTGAATCGATTCTGAGCAGAAATTCTCCACAGGGATTACAGAAAGCTGTGACCTTTCAGAAGTATTATACAGACGGGGTGGGTTTGAACCATTCAGTTAGTAGTTAAGTGTTTAATCATCTGTGTTGCCAACCAGGGAAACCTAATTCATTACTAATTTTCTATATTTTGTATTCAATTCCTTATTGATTGCTGATATTCTACTGCTTTGAAGTTTTACATTAAAAAATAGTGATCTGATTCCCACAGGTATCAGACAACTCCCTAATGAGATCCATTTATTAGCAGGCTGTTGTTGTTGTTGTTGTTGTTATGTACTGTCGAGTCAGGTTGACTCATAGCGACCCCTCCCTGGGTTTCCGAGGCAGTATCACTACATAAGTAGACTGCCCCATCTTCCTTCTGAGGAGAGGCTGGTGGGTTTGAACCGTCAGCCTTCTGGTTAGCAGTCAAGTGCCTTAGGCACTATGCAACCAGAATTCCCAGCAGGTAGTAGTATAAATTAATAAATTATTTAGCAAAAAGAAAAGTATTACAAATTTAATTATTAATCACCATACCAACTTTCTTTTGTTCTGCTTGGTACACATTTAAATGAAGCAATTCATGGTTAAAATTCTAAATTGTACTTCACCTATTTTCTTACAATAAGTTCACTTTAAATAATGAAAACTCCATGGCAGTAATAGTGTAGCAAGAGCAGTATGTATTTTATTTAACATATTTTAGCACATATGAAAAAGAGAATCACATACACTAAAAGGTTTCTGTTCAGATCTACTACTTACCTATTATACCAATTAAACAAGAGCCAGTTGAGTCCTTCTAACTGATATTCCCTGAGTTGGTTGCCGTTTTTATAGTCCCTGGATTGATCTATTTTTTTCCAAATATTAGAGGGAGGACGGTCCTTCATGGAAAAATCACAGAACGAATGATGTATATTAGATTTTTTTCCACATTTCAAATCTCTAGTACATCTTACTCATGGTAAAAAAAAAAAAAAAGCTTTTAGAATAATCCTAAAAGTATAACACTGTACAATTTGTTATAAATTCTACCAAACATTTAATGACAAAATTAATTCTATACAAACTCTTTCATAAAACTGAAGAGGAAGGAATACTTCCCAACTCATTCTATGAGGCTAATATTACCCTGATACCAAAATTAGTTAAAGATATTATAAGAAAACTACAGACCAATATTCCTCATACAAATAGATGCAAAAACTCTTAACAAAATTGTATAAATGGAATATATTATTATATGGAATAGTTAAAACATCTTGACCACATGGTATCTTCAATATTTATCAAGATTAAAAAAGAAAAATATGATAATCTCATAGATGTAGAAAACACAACATTCATTTCTGATAAAACTCTCATCAAACTATAGAAAAAAACTTAAAAATAAAAATATAAAAATAAAGATAAGAAGAAAAAAATACATCGACAAAAAAATCAAGCTAATACCATACTTATGGTAAAAGATTGAACCTTCTCTCCCTAAGTTCAGAAATAAGGTAACAATGTTCACTGTCACTGCTTCTATTCAACATAATATTGGAGGTTCTAGCCAGTGAAATCAAGCAAGGAAAAGAAACTAAAGTAATCATGATTGGGAAGTTGTTGTTGTTATGTGCATTGACATGGCCCTGACTCATAGCGACCCCTCCTTGGGTTGCCAAGGCAGTATCACTACAGAAGTAGATCGCCCAACCTTCCTCTCAAGGAGTGGTTGGTGGGTTTCAACCGCCAGCATTCTGGTTAGCAGTCAAGTGCCTTAGGCACTATGCTACTAGAGCGCCTGATTGGAAAGTAGCAAGCAAAATTTTCTTTATTCACATAAGATATGATTTACTTAATAGAAAATCTTAAGTAATCTACAAAAAAAGCTACTAGAAATAGGAAGAACTAGAAAGGCTGTGATAAATATACAAGTATACAAAAGTCAATTGCATTATAATGTTCTAGAAACAATCATTTAAAACAATACCATTAGATAATAGCATCCAGCATATGAAATACTTAGGAGTAAATTTCATAAAAGATGTACACAAGACCTATGAATATTTAAAATTACAAAACCTAGTTGAGAGAAATTAAAGAAGACCTAAATAAATGGAGATATTTACCATGTTCAAAGACTGAAAGACTTAACCCTGTTAAGAAATTCTTTCCAAACTGAACAGATTCAAAACAGTCCCAACAAAATCCCAGCAATGTTTTTGTAGAAACTGACAAGCTGATTCCAAAATCATATGAAAATGTAAATTACCTACAATAGTCAAAATAGGAAAAAAAAAAAGTGGAAGTCTTACACTGACTGATCTCAAGACTTCTTATAAAGTTATAGTAATCAAGACTATATAGAATTTATGTAAGATAGAATAACAGATCAGTGGAATGCAACAGAGACTTCTGAAACCAATGCAAACGTACATACGGTCAATTGATTTTTGACGAAGATACAAAGGTAATTCACTAAAGACAAAAGGATTCCAACAAATAGTGTGGGAATTGGAGCTCTGTTGGCATAGTTCCTAAGGCATTTATTTGACTGCTAACTGGAAGCCTGGTGGTTCAAACCCATCAGCCACTCCTCGGAAGGAAGACTACTTCCATAGTGATACTGCCTCGGAAACCCAAGGAGGGCTTGCTATGAGTTGGATCCCACTCGACAGCAGTAAGATTGGTTTTTTTTAGTGTGAGAATAACTACATATCCATGGACAAAATACAAACTTTAATATGTACCTTGCACTATACACAAAAATTAACTCAAAACAGGTTTAAATGAAACCTAAAGTACAATACTTCTAGAAAACAATGGAGAAAGACCTTGCAATCTCTGGTGATAAAACATTCCTTGATACAACATGAAAAGTGCAATCTAGGAAAAAGATAAATAATTAAACTAGAATTGGGGAGAGTGCTGATAAATGGGCAATTGCAACCATGTCACAAAACAATCTACGTATAAATTGCTAAATGGGAAACTAATTTGCACTGTAAACTTTCACCTAAAATACTGTTAAAGATAATACAAGGATAAGCTACAGACTGGGAAAAAATATTTGCAAATCTGATCTCTAATAACAGACTTGAAGCCAGAATATGTAAATAATTCTCATAATTCAATTACTAAAAAAAAAAACCAATTAACAAATGGGTTAAATATCTGAACAGACACTTTAACAAAGAAGACATACTAATAGCAAAAAAAAAAATAAAGTATATGAAAAGATGCACAACGGTGTTCAATCATTAAAAAAACTAAACTCACCGCCCTTGAGTCAGTTCTCACTCACAGCAACCCTCCCTGGGCTTCTGAGGCGGTATCTCTACAGAAGCAGATTGCCAAGTCTTCCTTCCAAGGAGTGGTTGGTGGGTTTGAACCGCCAGCCTTCTAGTTAGCAGTCAAATGCCTTACACACTATGCCACCAGAACACCCATTCAATCAATGTTGTTGTTGTTGTTGTTGTTGTTGTGTGCTGTCAAGTCGGCACCGACTAACAGCGACCCCTCCTTGGGTTTCCAAGGCAGTATCACTACGGAAGTAGATTGCCCAACCTTCCTTCTGAGGAGCGGCTGGTGGGTTTGAACCGCCAGCTTTCTGGTTAGCAGTCAAGTGTCTTAGCCACTATGCTACCAGAACTCCTATTCAATCAATAGGGAGTTGCAAATAAAACCCACAATGAGATACCATCACATATCTATCAGAACACTTAAGAGATAAAAGACTGACCACAACAAACTTTGTCAAGGATGTGAAGCAACCAGAACTCTCATACACTGCTAATGGTAATGTAAAAGAGTATGACTACTTAGAAACAGTTCAGCAGTTTCGTAAAAAATTAAACATACATCTAACATATGACCTAGTCATTCTATTCCTAGGTATTTACCCAAGAAAAATAAATACACATCTTTACACAAAAAGTTTTTTACAAATGTCCACAGAAGCACTATTTTTAATAGTCAAAAGTAAAAAACAATATAAATGTTTATCAAAAGGTGAATGGACAAATAAATTGTGGACTATTATATTACAATAGCATACTACTGCTCACTAATAAGAAGAAATGAATTATGATTAATACTTACAACATGGATGAATTTCAAAATAACTGTGATGTATGACAGAAGACATACACTTATTTATATATATATATATATATATATATATATATATATATATATATATATATACTGTCTGATTCTATTTATATTAAATCCTAGACAATGAAACTAAGGTACAGTGACATAAAGAACAGTAGTTGCCTGAGGATGGAGTGTGGAGTGGGTAGGAGCATCATATGGAGGAAGAGGAAAATGCTGAGGAGTGATGAATGTGTTGATTATCTTGATTGTCACGATATTTTCCTATGTCAGAATTTATCAAATAGTACACTTTAAATATGTGCAGTTTATTGTATATCACATCAACTTCAGTAGAGCTAATTTTAGAAAGAATGAATGATGTATATCAGACTTTTTCCTCATTTGAAGCCTACATCTATGTATCACTTTTGATAATCATAGTATAAAGCATTTTTTTTATTGTTTATTTAGGTTTATTTACAAGTACGTATTAGGCCAGAACTGACCATGTAAATGGCAATAGGGAATAAAAAATACAAAGCATTTCTTTATAAAGAAATCTAGAAGCATAGAACTATAGATATATAAACATTATTCATTTATGTAGAGAGTTATATTTACATAAATCTAATTTTCTTTCTCAGCTATAAAAAAATGCCATGAATTTGTTAGGGACAGCTAGGACATAAATTTTCTGCAGACTGCTGGATAGGTGAAGAAAACCACTAACCTAGACCCAAATCAGTGAAGTCTAGGTCTTAGTAAGACAAAAAGTTTCAGAGACACAAGCACAAGGTTTGCCTATTGTCTTCTGCTTTAAAATTATATGATACAGTTTAAAAAAATTATATTCTACTGTTACAACTCAATATAATTGTAAAAATTATCAAGATGAGCAAAGTAAACATAGGTAAATGAAAACCAAAACAGACTATCAGTTACACATACTGAAAACAAGATTATTAAGCCTCTACTGTTAACTTAATCAGGATTAATTAAAGAAAACATTTTTTAAATGACAGCTAATGCACCTTAAACATACTATTTCTCAACTTACTGCTTAAAATAAATTCCACATTAAATCATACTCAGTGTATTTTCCTCTCAGCAATTCAATCACTATAAATATTTCATTAGACCAATAATGAGATATCTCAATAGCAAATTTAAAAAAAAAAACCAAAACCCCACCAAATGCTGGCAAGGGTATAGTGAGACTACAACCCTCATACACTGGTAGTGGGAATGTAAAATGATGTAAACATTGTGCAAAATGGAATGGTGCTTCCTTAATACATTAGAAATAGGAATACCATATGATCCAGCAATCTCACCATCAGGTATACATCCTAGAGAAATAAGAGCTGTGACATGAACAGATATATACACACCGATATTCTTCTCCATTCATTCACAATAGCAAAAAAGAAACAAACTAAGTGCCCATCAAACTAAGTGCTATCAAGATGAATGTAAAAACAAACCATGGTATATACACACAATGGAATACTATGCAACATTAAATAATAATGACAACTCTGCACAGCACTACGTACAATAGCCAAAAGATGGAAACAACCTAGGTGCCCACCAACAGAAGAGTGGATAACCAAACTATGGTGTATACACACAACAGAATACTATGTAACACTGAAGAATAATATAGAATCTGCAAAACAGCACAAAACGTGGATGAACTTGGAGGACATTATGCTCTATGAAATAAGTCAATCACAGGACAAATATTGTATTAGTCTGCTATTGTGAAAAGTCCAGGAAAGGTTTATATATAGAATGAAAC